ACGGGGTGGCGGGGCCGCAGACGGTTAGGACGCGGGCTGCAGAAACATGGGTGGGCCAGGGGGAGGATTCGCAGTAACTTTCCGGGCCAGGGGTCAAGAAGGGTCAGTACAGGGGCAGACAGCGCTCGGGAGGAGTCCCTGGAGGCACTAGGGAAGTCTCTGTCTTTACCAGGTCTCTGAGGACCAGATGGAAGCTTCCGGAGCCAGAGTGGCTGCAGGATGGCTGCGGTGGGCCCGAGGCTTGAGCGGCAACTAGGGGCCTCTGGAAGAAGGCCTGTGCAGACATTGCCTTTGCAGGGAGACAGCAGGGCATGAGGTAGGCAGAGCTCCTGTCTTCGTGGGGCTTATCTTCCAGAAGTGTGTGTGTGTGTTTGTGGGGGGCAGATAATCAGTAAGCAAATTAATAAGCCAATCTAAGGTAGTAATGAGCGCCGTGAAAAGAGAAAATGGGGAGATGTGAGCGCGTGGTTGGGGCGATTCTACTCGAAATCCGGTGGTCCAGGCCACGCAGAGAGGGGGAAGAACGTTCCAGGTTCAGGCACGGAGGAGGCCTAAAGGTGGGAATGCAGCTGGAGCAAAAGGTGAGCAAGGAGGAAAGGCTTGGAGAGGCGGGCGGGCCCAGGTCACTGGGACGCTGGGGGCGCGCGGCTGGATGGCGGGGCTGGGAGCGGCGTGGCCGTTTCTGTTTCTGTGTTGCCACTGCTGTACTTTGTGTTATACCCAGTCTTCTCCTTTTATGGTCTCCTTCACTGCCCCCATAAAGAGCCCCCACACTCTCCACTTCGTCCTCCTGGTTGCTGCCAGAAACAAGCTGGTCACTGGTGCCTGTGTGGGAGAGGGAGAGCTGGGCTTTCCTGGCCAGCCTGTGGGGTGCTAAACGTTTCAGGCCATGTGGTTTTCTCCAGGGCCTTGATGTCTTCATCAGGGCCTTTGTGGTCACATTTATAAACTCCTGCTTGAAAAAGGAGCCTTTATTTTTAGCTTGCCCAGATGGCAGGCTCCAAGGCCAAGGCAGGAAGCCGCGGCTCCCTGCTTTTGGCTTTATGAAGCTTCAAAGCTGTGTGGGCCTGGTAGACTCATTTTCAAACCCATTGTGCAGCCCGGTGACTCCTTTTCAATTGGCCTTTGTCTCTGCCACTGAGGGGGGTTGTGAAGGGAGAGGAAGGGGCTGCCCCAGTTCTCACTGCAAAAGGAGGCTGCTGGGTATGGGAGAAAACACACTGGCATCGGGGTCAGGTGCTGTGTCAGCCAGGAAGCTGCAGCTGCAGGCAATAGAGGCGGGCTTGGACTGACTTAGGCCACAGGAGAACGCACTGGGAGGAATTGGGGTAGCTCAGGGCCGGGGCAGGAAGAATCTAATGGGAGGATGGCCCGGGGCCGCTCCCTCGGTAGGACTCTCGGTCTCCAGCTGCCGTACCCCACAGGAGGTGGCATCTGCTCTCTCTGAGCCTCTGTTTCCTCGTCGGTAAAGGAGATAATCAGCTTTGAGTTGGAATTCTGATGGGAATAAAAGCAGATGCCACGTGTCACGTGGCTCAGAGCTGGGGGTCATTTTACAAATATCATGTCTTTGCTCTGTAAAAACCTGGGATACTGAGGTCCAGGCTTCCCTGATTCTAGCCAAGGGAAGTGAGGCATCCCGGTTGCCTCTGAATTAAATCTCCCTTTCTCACAACCCTGAGGGGTTTCAGCTGGGAGGAGCCCCCAGCTTGCCCAGCCTCCTGGACCCCTGGCTCTTCGCAAATGCACTTGGAGGGGGGCAGAGTGATGTGTCCTTGTCACCAGTGGTGGATCCTGACACAAACAGCGCTCCTTGGGGTTCTTCCCTACAAGTGGGCGTAGCTGTGGAAGCTCTACAGCACGTCCTGGTCCTGCGCTCGCTGTGGACCTTGGCAAGACTTTGTCTCTTTATCTGTAAAATGGGGCTGTTCGTTCCTGCCTCACAGCTCTGTTAGACGCTCGGGGTGCAGTGCTCTGAATGGTGCCTGGCGCGGAGAGATTTACTATTGTTTCCAGCCTGTACTCCCTCTCGGGACTGTGCACAGAAATAATGGATTTCTGCCTTGTGCTGTGGTCTCGTCCCTGGAGCTTTAAGGGCTGTGTTCCCTTCCTGCTCTCTGTGTTCTGGGGTTTGAAGAACACATCTAATTCCGTTTAAGTTCCTTGGCAAGGAAGACTGAGTGGGCAGTGGCAGGATGGCTTGAGGTGTTGGAGCGTCAGAACAGGTGTGCCGGCCACCAGGTGCAGGCGAGTGATCAGATGTCTCTGACCTCAGTCCTGCTCACCCGGCTGTTTCCCGGGGCCCCATCTCACGCAGGGCCCAGGGCTGGCCTGCCCGTCCGTCTTGTCCAGCGGCCGTGGTCGGTGTCTCACCCCTTTGGCTCTTGGGCTGGTACATACCTCCATCAGAGGCCGCAGCAGCAGGTGCAGTAGCGCCCCCTGGGAAACCGGGCCGTGTCTCCCCAGCCACCCTGTTCAGATTCTCCCATGGTGGCTACGTTTGTTGACTGAAATGAAAAAGCCTGGGTATCTGGTTGCCTTTGGCCCGGTGAACAGCAGCACCACTGATAGTCTTGGGAGGTGAAGAGGCACAGGCCCCTGGCGGAAGAACCCAGAGGCGTGCCGTGGACACAACATGTGGCGTCTGCCCTGCCTCCGGAAGGGTCCGGCTGGCTTGCCGAGGGGCCCTGGAAGATGGGCGGCACCGCCCCGCGGGCCTCACTGTTGCTGTGATTAATCTAGCCCCAGGCAGGGCGGCCGTTCTTCCTACACCTCACACCCAGCTTGCACGGTGACGAAGGCTGTGCAGGGCAGCGTAACGTTTTAACTTTGAGCGAATGCAGACGATGGCCTTGAGAACTAGACTGATGTACTTCTCACATCGTCTTTCTTTTAAAAACACAAACAGACTTGTGTTGCCACGCCTATAGCTTACGAAAAATGGAAGTAATTCTTTTGTGATGAGTGGCCTTGATCACCAAAAACAAACATTTTATTTTTCACAAAACGTGGAAGATGATGGATCGGATCGGTACTGCTGATTGGATAAGCATTACCAACAAGTACCACTCGGGGGCGACACAACACATGGGGAAGTAGGTCTGAAAGCCCAGGACTCTTGGTAAAAATGTCATTTTCTTTTCCCTGGAAGTTCTCAACCATGTTTTGTATTTCAACTAAGTGAGAATACTGAAAGTGATATAGTAGAGAGCACTTTTTTTTTTTTTTTTGCGGTACGCGGGCCTCTCACTGTTGCGGCCTCTCCCGTTGAGGAGCACAGGCTCCGGACGCGCAGGCTCAGTGGCCATGGCTCACGGGCCCAGCCGCTCCGCGGCACGTGGGATCCTCCCGGACCGGGGCACGAACCCGTGTCCCCTGCATCGGCAGGCGGACTCTCAACCGCTGCGCCACCAGGGAAGCCCTAGAGAGCACTTTCAATGGAAAATTAATTGATAACACAATCTTATTTCAATTTTCTTTTTATTTTTTAACTTAAATGACTGTGTATATCCCACAGTCTTATGATGAGGAAGGCTCCAGAATCATGTCTAGGTCTTCTCAACATTTCATTTCTCCAATTGTTCTTTACTTTTCGTTGTGCATTGATATGGGCTTCTCAGTTCAGAAACCAAGGCACTGTAACTATTTCATCAGCTACATTAATACAGTGAAGGTATATTTACCCTTTCATTAAATATACAGCATTTGAGTACAATATGGTTTTATGCAGATCAGGTTCAAAACACCCAAGGCACACACTTTACTTTTTTTCCTTTTTTTTTGTTTCTGTATTTATTTGAAGGCTCATATTAAAGTTTCAGAATTGCTATAAATAGAGTTCCAGAGTAGAAGCAATGGACAGTGACTGTTGTGATTTTAAACATAACACGGGAAAGACTGTGAAATGTAGAGACACGTTACAGGAACAATAAAGAAACAAACCACTGATACAGCGTGGATTATAAATTGAAGTGATCAGATCTGCTGAAGTCTGAGAAACAAGCCTGGAAGCTACCCGCCTCCCCACAAAGCACGGGCAGGCCCGTATGCATGCAGCCGCTGTGGTCACCCAGCCACTGTGGAACTGTCACCTACTTGCGTGTGTACGTGGATATCTACAAATACAGAAGACATTCCAGTTCACTGGTTATTAAAATGCATCAAATAAAGTACAGATAAAAGAAAAAGTCTTCCAATGTCTGTTTTTTTCTTAACAAGACGAACAGATACATTCATCAGGAAGAAGTGGTCTGGAAGAAACCACTGGACAGTGAAGATGGGGGTGGTGGCTAGGGTCTGGGAAGAACCATTGGATGGTGGAGCAGGGGGACTTCAGGGAGGGTAAACTACAAAAGGTACGAGGCTGAGATGTTTTCAGGAACATAGAAACGGAGTGGCTGCCGTTCAAGAGGAGAATGTGCCAGAACAGAAGGAACTGTTCAGGAACTAAAGACAGTGACTTTTCACTGCTGTGAGGCGGAAGAGGTTCAGTATTGAAGTCGAAAATACGCTTCCCTCCAGCAGAAGGGATAGCCCGTGTCTTCCGGGCTCAGTTCTTGGCCAGAAGACGCATTCTCTTGCCTCGTTCACCGAAACGTTGTGGCTCTGTGTCAGCCGGTGGGGCTGCCTGGCTGGTTGTGCAGACCCCACGGCAGGAAGACCGCCGCCGCTTGTGCCCTTGGGGGGAAGGCTTGTATCGGGCTCGCCCTCCGGGCCCCTCTGCTTCCGTCCCAAACAGACAGGAGCGCCAGCGTTCGCAGATGTCCGCCCGCCGTGACACTTTCCCAGTTCTGAAAGAATACTCGTTTCCACCCATACACCGAGAAAGCTTTAAGGAAGTGGAACCGAGGCAGATTAGCTCACCGAAAGGAGAATCTTCACTCTTTGAGGAAAGCTACCGTCTGGTCAGCTTCACAGAGGTCAAGTGGCTGGATTGTAAGCTTGGCAACTTTTTGTTTGATTCAGAAAGTTTTCACTGTTTTGCAATCAGAACCACAACCTTAGTGCAATAGTATATTTATTTTTTTTTTTAACAGTAATTTTGGTTGCCATACAAGAGATTTAAGGATTGGGAGAAAGTGCAAATTACAGGAGCTCGTTTTTCCTTTTTGTTTTTAATAAGGTCTAAAAAGAATAAAAGCACAAAAGTAACAGAAACACAGATAATGCGAACACGTTACACAAACTGTAGTGTGAAAAGGATTAGCTTCTAAAAAAAACAAACAAAAAAATTGTTAATGGGAAAAAAATCAATATTTGTGGCCCACACGCAAAAAGTCATTGCCAGATCACCCTGGGTAATGCTTGCTTGTTCAGTAACTCAGGGGGAAAAAAAAAAAAAATCACCGTTTTATTAACTAAAGTACCACAAATAATTCACTTTGTGATATGTAAAGTTCAGCAAATCAACAGTCACATTGAGTCAGTTTTATATTATATGGATTTACTTAAAATGTGCACAGACACCCTGGAGAAGGCATCCTGGCAGGTCTACATGATTTACATCTTGAGCAATTTTGGTTTTGTATACACAATATTACAGAAACTAGGCATGTAAATGCAATTTATTTAAATTACAGTATATAACAAAAGTGGATCTTTTTAAAACCTGGAATAGTATTAACATGATCTTTATATGAGCAGTTTAACATCTGTTTCACCATTAAAGAGGGGCACAGGGTAGGGCCTGGTCCTGACGTGTCCCAAGGGGGAGAACAGTGGGCGGTGGTTTAAATGAGGAACTATTGCTTTCTGTAGCAGACCTGGCGAATGGAGCTAGAGACTGATTCATCTTGGCAATAATGTGTATATTTTGTCGGTCAGGGCAGGTTCTGATGGGGCCTGTTACTTCTCTACAGTAAGACAGTGTGAAACAACCAATGTCACCAGCTCTTTTGTCTCTCAGTCTGCTTGCTTCCGGTCAGTTGCACGTGACTTGAAGTCTCTTTAAGGAAGGGAGTAGCAGCCAGCTCTCACCTCCTGGTTACCGAAGTTCAGTAACCCCAACGCCCCCAAGTTGCCGTTGGTTACCATCTACCCGCGGCCTCCTTTACTCGTCCTGTCTGTCTAGCATTTTGCCTGGCACCGAGCAGAGAGGTAATACCAACAGTAGGCAAAGGAGAGAAGAGCCACGGTGAGGTGGTGTACTTAGTGGGTTTTGCAGTATCACCAAATGGAAGACAGATAATGGCCAGAACACCATTGTACATTTTCTGAACTACCGGGCAGCCTCAGCAGGCCACCTGTAGTATCTTGGCTTGAAATTTCTCTAGGGTAAGATTTGTTCATCTCATGATGGAAAAATTGAAAGTACACGGAAGTGAAGCGCCTTAATACTCAATTGATTTCAGGTTGGAATGGATCATTCAGATACAAAGATGGACCTGCAGAAGGTTTTGGAACAGAAGGTCCAAAACTCAGTTTCCAATTCAGGGGCACGTGGCTGGAAAGACGGGGTGTGTGGTGAGTGTGTTTGTGTTTGGAGAAACTGCTGCATTGTGAAACACAACCACTTTTGAAGAAATAATTGTCCTTCGATGACGAAGTTCTAGCAAAGATAGAAAATATAACACAGCTCTGCTGGTTCAGATGCATCCAAATAAGGTTGATTTAAAAAGGTCATACTTTTATAATTATTCCACAGAAATAGTATTATTAAATCACAAAAGTTTTTCTCTTTAACTTTCTAGCACTGAAGTGGCACAAAGGCTGCCTAGTAGACCAGCCACTTTTTTCCTTAAAATATTGTGCTTATAAACTATCTGTACAACTATTGAAACTTGCAGTAAAGAAAGAGGTTTTAAATCGCTAGATTTGACTATTCATTCTAGAGCTGTTCCAGGCCTCATCAGACACTCGACTGTGAGCATAAAGGAAAAAGGAGAAAAATCACGTTTGTATAATTAGAGATGGGCTAGGCTAGTTCTGAAATCATAGTAAAAGCCAAAAACCTGACATTCGAGCTTCTTCCATACGTGGCAGAGCATGCTGACCCCTGACTGGGTGTCCTGTGGCTCGCGTGCCGGTGGCGACCTCCCTTGGAAATTAGAGGTACTGTCACAGGGGAGGGGCTCCAGGGGAAAGAACGCGGCAGGGCCCAAGAAAGCCTTGCCAGAGGCCTGACTGGCAGCCCACGAGACCTCTCTGCTCTGCCCTCCTTCCTTCATCCGCATTGCACCCTCACCCTGGGTTCCGTCTATGCGCCATGCCCGCTGGGTTTTCAAAAAACCTGCTGTACTGTTAAGACAAGCTGGTGGGATTCCTGGACGCTCAGAGGAAAAGGGGAGAAGCCCCTAAGTACCCTCTTCCTTGGCCTCGGGGGGACAAAGGGGCTGTCTCAGCTGCGATGCTTCCCCTTGGCCGGGCTCAGAACTGGGGGTGGCCGCGGCACACGCCCACCGTGAGCCCTGTCATCCTGCGTGTCAAAGTGGTTGCTCGCCTGCTCTGATCTTCGTAGAATTCAACACGCTTTCGATTTTAAAAAATGCCCAAAGGCAGAGAAGCCCCTTCCCCCGCTCCTGGGGAGCTGCTCCCCTCCTGCGGACACTCTGGGCACAGCAGCTGCACGCCGGCTGCTTCCCACGGCCAGGTCTCCCTCCTCCTTGGAATCGTGACTTTGTGCTTTGACTAACTCCATGTGACATCTGTTTGGCCACTTTGGAATTATGCTAACAGATTTGCAGAAAGAAAGAAAGAAAGCTAAGCAAAGCTGGGCACGATCCCATTCGGACCACCCACCACTGCCAAGAACCTCATGGCCGGAGAACCCCAGGTGCATGTCGGAGGAGACAGGGTGAAGGATCCACGGGAAGGAAGCTTCTCTGCCTTCCAAAGGGGCACCGGCTACGCACATCCGCGGGCGTCTCGCTGCGAGCCAAGTCCGGGAAAGAAAGGAGCACGTGGGCTTGAGTGCCCTTGAGGGGCCGCAGGCTGAGGAAGGCCTTGCGCCCGGGCCCGGGCGGAGCTGCCGGACGGCAGAGGAGGCCGCGGGAGGTATGTGTCTAGAGTGCAGTGGTGTCTGCCTGCAGGAGCAAGGGGCGCGCGCGCGGCGGTGAGCATCTCCTGGGCCTCGTGAGGTCAGGTCACCTGCGTGCAGGAGGCAAGCCGCGCATCTTTCCACCTTAGATTAGAAGCCCTCCCTCCCCTGGTCCCCTCTTTGACAGAAACAGCCCAGGGAGCCCACACAGAGAGCCCGGGGGTGGGGGGTGTTGAAGGCCTCTGCTCAGCCACGCCAGGGACACAGCATTTCTCTGGGTAGCAGGAGACCAGCCCGCGGGGCAGGCTTGGCGCTCACCGTCACACACTTCAGTGCAAGCCCATCTCTATTTATAGCAAGGGGTCCGTAAAGGTGAGGCGCAGCCGCCCTTATCTGTCCAGCAGCTGTTTCAAAGCCCTTTCGATGTTCATCCGGTGCCCGACTCGCGTCACGCCCAGATCTATGAGGTCTTCCTTCTGGAGGTTTGGCAGGTGGCTGCCATCGATCTCGTTGTCCATGAAGGCCTCTTTATGCTCACCCAGGTTGAGGCTTTCCAGCCAGTCCGCCACGTCTGGTTTAGTCCACAGGTGGACAGGTTTAGTTGTAAAAGGCTTATTGGAGATTGGCTGTTGCAGTATGGAGGGGGATGGCGACCTGCTGCGTCCCGCTGGGTTCAAGCCAAACAGGTCCCCGGGAGGGGGCTGGCTTGGGAGGCCGAAGACATCCGAGAGGGTGGGAGAGGGAGCCGCGGCGGCAGCGGACAGGGGCGCAGGCAGGATCTCTTTGTTCAGCTCTGTGGGCGAGACCACGGGGCTGGGGGCACGTCTTGGTCCTGAGGTCCTGCTCTCATAGTCTGGGGGCCGGCTCTGCAGGGTGATGGGCTGGGAGGTCCCAGGGCGAACCGTGAAGGTGACCGTCGTGCTCCGCGTACCTGAGACGGTGCTCATGACCTCTGGGCCTCTGAAACGGCAGCAACAGAGAAAACCATCACAGGTCCGCTCACAACGTCCCGAGGAGGGGGCGGGAGACACCCAAACCACAGCAGAGCGTCCGACGGCAGGTGCGCTGGCAGTGAGCAAACGCTTTGCCATGCCGGGGGCGGGGCGGGGGGACACGAGCGGAAGGCACCAGAGCACACGGGGCGGCCACTCACCGGAGCCTGGCAGGTTGGGGGGGGGCAGGGAGACCTGGAGACGGGCCCGAACCAAGTCCTGCTCCCTGGCCGGGGCGTGTCTGTGCCACACCAGTACCGCCTGAGGATGTGGCATCTTTTGCCTCAATTTCAGCAAGCAGAGGGGGGGCACCCTTGAGGAGAGACCCTCCCTCTTAACTGCCTGCCAGGCCTGAGGCTTTTTGGCTTAGAAGGACAAGTGCAGGGAGGGGCACCTCGCAGGCTGGCCCTGTTTCAGGAAGGGGGAAGCCCTACGGCTCCCTGGGGGCGCTCATGGACGCCGCCGTGTCAGCGTGAAAGGGTTGGGGTCGGGAGAAGGGCTTTATTAGCGGGCGGGAATGAGCCGCAGCCGCGGGGCCCAGTCTGTCCGCGCTCTGGACTGGCCTCCTGCTGCTCTCTGCTTTCTCTGCCGCGGGTGTGTATTTGCGTGAAACTGCCAGTTGGTAACCGGGTGCCTCTCAGCCTCGTGACACTTCCCCACTCAGTGCTACGTCGAGTACGGCATCTCTGCGTGAGGAAGCAGCAGCAGGTCGCGGGGGGGACCTGTGCCGACTCAGGCTTCGATCTTGTCCCGAGGAGGAGCATTTCCAGGGGCAGGGGGTGCACGCGGCTGGGCCCGCACCCCCACAGGGCGTTCAGATACGGCTTCCTGGAGGGCCAGGGGCTCCAGGGCCGGATCTGTTACACGTAGGGGGCCCCTGTTGAGAATTTCCAGGGGCCTTGGTTACTGGTTGTACTGGTGCACTGGGCACCAGCAGGTAAAGGCAGCCCCAGGCGAGACCCTGAGGATGCCTCCTCCACTACTGCCAGGCTCGCTACTCAAAATCAAGAAACGGTCCAGGGCGTCACCCGCAGGGAGCGGGGAGCCACCCCTCTGGCCCCCAGACCTCGGTCCTGGAGAGAAAGGTGGGCCGTGCGCACGGCGGGCATTTAAGAAACCTGCAAACTCCGGTGCTCAAGTAGGGCTGAAAGATGCTCCCCGGTTCCCACTCCGGAGGGCCCCACGGCTGTGGGCACACCTGTCTGGGGAAGGCTCATTTGGACCACTTTGATACCACAGCTAAGCTGAGATGGTAGAGCAGCCCCACCCAGAGGGGATTGGAGTTGTTTAATTAGGACCTTCAGGGGAGGTGAAGCGGGTCAGCATCTCACAGGAGCACGCGGCACTTGCTCTAAGGTGACTTTGCGTGGCGCCGGGCCTGTGACCCTGACTGGGTCGACTGGGGCAGGACAGTTGGGAAGTGACCTTGTTCATCGGCTTTGTGCAGCAGAGGCAAGTTAATCCCCCAAAGTGACAGCAGCTGCTTTAAACCCAGGCAGCCTTTAACAGGGGGCCTCTCTGAGCCAGAGGGTGGGTGTCAGCACCACCCTCCTGTGGGAACACCCCAGCGAGTCCCAGGTAGTTGGGATGTTTTTTTTAAAGGAAGGCTCTGCAGGCAGCTGTGTGTGTCGTCAGAAGCAAACAGATGGGTGGGCAGTGAGAACGAGGGGCAGGAGAACACACCAGAGAGAAGAGGGTTCTGCACGCAGCACTTACTTCTGTTCAGCACGACCCTCTTCTGTTACCACCCATCATGGGAGCAAATGGAAATGACAAAATGGAATGGGTTGAGACAACACGGCAAAATTAATTACAGTTTAAAAAAAGCAGCTTTTTTCGATGGATGAAATTAAAGCAATGGCACAGATGCTGGCTGAGAGTCTCCCCGCGCTGCTCCTTTTCTGGCCACGGAGTAGAGTGGGCAGTGCACAGAGCTGCCCGGAAGAGAACGTCAAGAGGGGCATCACTTTAGCGTTTAGGATGGGACACTCACACCTGTGCCTGCCTTGGCTGGGGATGGTGTGAATATAGAGAGAAACATCTAGGAAGGTGTTAAGAAGGAGAACGACGTTAGCCTCTGCTTGGAGTCCCTGAGAGCCAGTTCATTGCTGACATCCAGACTCGGCTTCCCGGGCTGCCTTTGTCTTCTGCAGCTTAGGAAGGACAAATCAGCGTTCCTGGTTGGGGGAGGCCGTGCTTTGCGTCAAGTCTACAGCGAGAGAGGAGAGCCCGGCAGCTAATAAAGGGGGTTGTCAGATCTGGCCCCATACTTGGGGCCACCCACGGCCCTGCGGAACGTCGCCGTGGAAAAGAACCAGCGTGTTTGAGGAGCTGAGTGGAGGCCTGCCCGGGGCCGGTCCACCCTGCCCTCCTTCTCAGCGGTTTGATTGACTCTCAGTTAATCAGGCGGATATCATTCACTGGATCTCCTGGTTGCGGAGATCGTTATGTTGCTAAGCAACCACTGGGTTCCCGGGTGGAACACGCAGGAATCTGTGGCCCCGATTTAGAACACAGACACACACACACGCACACACACGCCCTCTCTTGGACTATTACTCTCTATCCTGCCTCTTAAATCCAATCCATACGGGAACATGAGGATTAAAACAAAAATGGAGGGTTAACTGACACCCCGAGATGCACTGTCATTTTATCGTCAGCCCGGGTTGACCGGCGTCGGGGAAGTGAGGACTCAAGTCGCCTTTGCATTGTGTTTACAAATGCAGTTCAGCCGTCGAGCAGTGGCTGGCTGTGGGCCGGAGGCGCTCGGGGCCGGCGCTGGGGCTCTGGACCCTTCCCGCCCGAGCCTTCCTCCAGCGCGCCCGCCGGGCCTCTGCCTCCCAGTGGCCGTATCCCGCCCGAGCCTCCCTCCAGCGCGCCCGCCGGGCCTCTGCCTCCCAGTGGCCGTAGGGTCTTCGTGAGGAGCCCCTGTCTTGCGTCTAAAATAGCACTTATTTCCAGACCGCGCTCTTCTTGGTTTCTACCTTTATAGCGCCTCCAAAGGTCGGTCGTTCCAAAGACGGAGAGTGGCCCGAGGCGTTAACAGATCTGCACAAGGCCTGAGCCTGGCCCTGGTTCCCGGCTCTGAGCACCGCGAGCCCCTGTGTGTCTGCGGTCCCGGGCCTGGCCTGCAGGAACGGCGGATGCATGTGGGAAGCTGGTTTCCCAGATCAGGAAGTGACGTGACTCGGCCAAGCAGATGGGGCTGGAACTGGGCGGGGGCAGGGGGCTGCCTCGGCTTCAGCAGCCCTTTCGACACATCTGAGCAGGTGGGAAGGCACCCAGTTTCAGCAGGAGGTATCCATCCCCTGATACACTTCGGCTGAGTGGTCCTGGCGTCCAGACTGGGAAATGAGAGCGTGAGAAACAGACTTGAAGGATAAAGTGCCGCAGCCTGACCAGAAGAGCCCCTTCACGAACCCGTGTACGAGGAGACACGCGACAGCGAGCTTCACGACCACCCTTAGTGTCCACCGCCTTATCCACGATTTCAGTCACTGACACTGCCTGAACGTTTCAGTTGCTGCCGTGAAATGGTAAAGCCTCCGTGACGGCACTGACGTGATGAAAGTGTCATTAAGCAGCTTCTATTATCGAGTCAGTTTTGAAAAGTCTTTGCTCTGGGACCGGCTGGGCAGAGGTCATTTTTTAACAACCCAGATAGATTTATTTTAAAACCGAGAGGCTCTCAGGATAATACTGTGGAGAGCCAGTGAGGAGCTGGTGCCACTGGCCAGGCCAGGCCAGGGCAGCCGGAGGCCGGAGGGCATCACCTGAGAAGCAGCCAGCGCTCCCCTGCAAGCAGCCTGAACCCCCAGGGGACCTGGAGCGCCGTCGCTGCCTCCGGGAAGTGAAGGCCATTCTGGATGAACCGAAAAGAGTGAGGCGATCGGAGGGGCTCCTGGGGGCTTGAGCCGATGCCGTGCGCCCTGGACGGAGGCCAGTGGGTCCCCCGCAGGCATCCACTCACTGCTCTGATACTCCTCCCAACAGCTGGAGAATGAAAGCCAAACCCAGACTGACCTTCCGCTCCCCTGGGAGTGCTGACAAAGAACAGATGCCTGGGCTTCCTAGGTCAAGCCCCTTTGTTTTGTGTCAGACGCCATCATCTACCCGCTGTCTCCGGAGCAGAGGCCCCCGGGACCCCACATGGGCCGGCTCGTGGGCTTCCCTGTGTCACTGTGACCCACCTGACTGCATAGCTGCTGGGTCACCTTCATGGAACGAAAGTTCACGCCAAGCCTTTGCTCAACCACTCGGACGCACCCCAGCCCTTCCCCTCGGCACGCGGGAGCCCTCTGGGACCCTTCCCCCGTCAGCGCTGCCTCTGGTCTGGCCGGTTTCTTTAGCGTGGAGAGCACTTGCCAGTGCCTGGGCTTTGTGCTTGCTGGTCTGCTGGTCCTGGTGCCCGGGATGCTCTGCTCCTGTGTTTCCGCCCAGCTGGCTCCTTTTACTCCTTCAGGTGGTTCAGATGCCACTTCCTTGGGGGGAGGGTCACCTCCGTCCTGCCCATGGTCGCTGACTCGTTGGGACATCTTCGTCCCTTTGCAGCGCCCGCACCCTTTGGGCTCGTCTTGTTTACTGTTTCTTATCCATTCCCCCTTGAGAATGTAGCCCTTCAAGGAGAGACCTTGAATGTTTTCTTGTTCAGTGAGGAATCCTGGGGCCCGGCCCGGTGCCTGGCACACTGAGGTAACCAGTAACCCCTGGTTCAGTGAACGGTTCATGACTAAGTCTGCGCCCAGCTTCCCGGGGCCCAGGCCTCTGTGACTGTGCACCCCTTTTGTTACTGTCCTCCCTCAGGTCTGACCCTGGGCTCCTACCAAGAACCCGTCAAGAGGCCACGGGGCTGGGCTGTGGCTCGTTTGGCTTCCCGGCTCTGTGACTTCATGGAAAACACCAGGTGCTCTGAAACGAGGCGGACGCTGCTCGTGTGTCTAAGTTTCCAAAGGGCTCCGCATGGCGGGCCGCCCGCTGCAGGGCAAGGCCGTGCTCGTCGTGGGTGTCGGCCGTGCCCTGGCGCCTCTCTGGCCGTTCACGGTCATCCTCTCGAGCTCTGAGCTTTGCAGGGAAGGTCCGGGCCTGCAGGACGCCAGGCGCCGGTGCCGGGCCTCCAGCCCGTGGGGTAGCTTGGGGGCGGAGCTGGGTAGGACAAGCAGCCGATCACCCCAGAAGCCTAGTTCTTAGGAGGTGTTTCCAGATCAGGCCTGGGGGGAGGCCGCGAACGCTAGGCCGTAAAGAAAATGACGTGATCGTCGTCTTTTCGCCAACGTGTCTGTAATCAAGATGACGGCAGAGCCTGCGTCGTCACTGATTTCGGGGGACACGTGATGGCAGCAGAAACCCATGCACGGCTCATGTTAAGTCAGATGTACCCCAGTAAGCGAGGGCCTAGTCGTCCAGTGTCCTCTCTTCCCCGACCCTGCCCAGGGTCACCGCACCTCAGAGTTCAGAAAGGACCCGAGGGCAAAAGTAACTTACCAAAGGGGCAGGTTCACCTGAGGTTTCTGCCCTCTTAGCGGACAAACGATTGTGGAGCAGCTCAAAGAACTGTCCCTTTCTTGGGCGATCAAACTTCTTTCTGTGGAAATGGGGTGTCTGCACTGCCGCCTGTCTGTCATTTCAGAGCACGGCCGGTTTTCAGTTTTCCCTAGAAAAACTCACTTCTTTTCCCTCACTAGGAATTTCCTTCATCCAGTTTCTGCCTCATTTTGCCCAGGGCCAAATTCACAGCTCTTAATTTGTAGATGCATTTAAAAGTAGCAGTGAGACACCCAGGCAGGTGAGCCCTGGCTGGGGGTGTCCTGGGCTTTGTCTGCTGCATGAATGGCTGAATCCCAGGCCTCTCCATGAAGGCACGACCCAGCGAAGCGGAGGCCTGTCCCAGGGAGTGTGTGTGTGTGTGTGTGAAGGAAAGTGCAGTTGAGTGCTGCCTGCTCATGAGAAAGACCTGGTGCCCGGTGCTCGGTCACCCACTCGGGGGCCTCTGCTGAGGACCTGCCCCCTTCTTACCCTGGTCAGTCCACCTCCTGGCTGCAGCTCACATCCATCGGGCTTTGCCCGATGCGGCCGTGAGATCGGAGAAGCCAGAGTGCGCAGGCGAGCGTCCAGCTTAGTGCTGGAGTCAGTGACCGACCTTCCTCCTCGTCCTTGGGCCTCAGGCCGACCTGTTCCTGGTCCAACTCAGCGTAGCCCTTAGCAGTGAGTAGGGAAGGGGAGGGGACACCGCCTCGGGGAGGTCACCAGTGCTGGAGGCTGCCCGGTGACCACCCTTGCAGATTATCAGTCACCAGGTAAGCCTGAGAATAGCCCTGTCCTGGTGAGCTCGGTTAGGTAGTGGCGCCTTTCTTCCAGGCTAATCCCTGGCTCCAGCGAGAGGGGCGGAGTCGAGCCCTGAGGCAGCTCCTGAGGTCGGAGTGCTTTCCTGCCTTCCAGCTGAGTGCCCAAGGCCAAGGGCTTCACCTCTGACCCCCGGTTCACTCATCTGCACCATGGGAGCAGGTTCAGGCCCTGCCTCCGGTGCCTGGGCCGCGTGATGCCCGGCATTTGGTGAGAGCATAACAGATGTCACCTAGGGCTTGTACCGTGATGGGCTGGGGTATAAATAATAGAAGAGACGGGAGGTGGCTGTTCCTGGCAGCTGGCTTGGGTCGGACAGAATCGGTCTTGCAGCTGCTCTCAAGAAGTCCGACAGGATTCTGCCCGCTGACCCCTGCTCTCAGGCCCCTCCCACCCAGGGAAACCCTAGAGACACCTGCAACTCGGAGACGCCCTCTCCTGTGAGCCCCAAGGAGCTCACCCAGCCAGGAGAGGAGCTGGGGAGGCCTACAATCCGATGCCGTTCAGAGAGGCCCCTGGACTCCCGGGTGGGAGTGCTCCGGGGAGCGTGGTGCTGTGCAGGCTGCCCCACTGGCCAGAGCAGCCCTAGAATTGGTGCCCTTCTGCATCTTCCATACTTCCGACATCGCTGGCGGTGGGAGGTGCCAGTCAGAAGACCTTGGCCTGGTCCTGGCTCTGCCTTCTGCTGGCTGTGCACATGGACAAGCCACCTGGCCTCTCTGAGTCTCCATTTCCCCTTCTGAAAAATGGGTATCATTATACATGCTCTCTAGCAGCTGTTAGAAAGATTACTCACCATGTCCAAGTGTTCTGTAAAATATGAAACACAGTGATAAAGCATCTTAATTGTTGTACCTCTACATAACCTAGCAGCTAAAGACCGGTACTATTACGTGACAGAGCCAGTTTTAAACATTTCCTTGAGACTTTCAAGCACGTAATACTCATAGGTACGTGTGTACGTACGTCCACCAGAAACGGGGAATTTGTAAGGAATCTGTTCAGCTGGAGTGCCCTTTGAATGCCACTAATGATGGGTGCCCCATTAAAAGACGGTGGTTTCGGCGTGCTTCTCTCTACTGAGACTGGCCCATCAGCGTTCCTCGGAGGAGTAGTGGGAGCTGTGCACGTAACTTACGCCCGCACCGAAAGATAACCGGGAAAGTGGTGGCTCTCAGCCTGCTCTCAGGACCTGACCGTAGTGCAATACCGCCGATTAATGGACTGAGATGTTTGAATCCAACGCCTGCCCAGCAGGAGTATGTAGAACGACTTCATTAGTTGAGATGATGAAACCTGAGAGTAAACATCAGTGGGGGAACCTGAAGGGCCCTGCTGCCTGGGGACCCAAGCAGTGGTGTGTGTCTTGGGCGAAGGGAACCGAGAACCGTGAGTGATGGCTGGAGCACCGGGCTCTGGCGAGGGTCATCCACCAGCTACAGGCGGGGCGGGGCAGGGGGGGGGGGGCCTGTTACAGCGTGGCGTGCCTTGACAGAGCCCTGGGGTTGGGTTTAGGACTGGCCCCCCACGTGCGACCCCTGGTTTCTAGGCAGTGCCTTACGCTCTGCCTGACGTGAGCGCCCACGCGGGGAGGACCACATGCTTTTCTTCCACGATGTCCGCCGTGGGTCAGGATGGGCTCCAGGGTTGCATTTCACTCTGAGCTCACTAGTGGATCTGCAACCCGGCCCCTCCCCGGCCTCAGACCAGTTAGTGACAGGAGGAGGGGAAAAGAGCCCCTCACGCACATGTGACCACACACGTGATTGCACACACGCTGCTCACGCGGCCCCCGGCCGGTGCACCCCTCCCCTGCAACCCCTGGGTGAGGCTCCAGAATGGCCTTTGGGGTCCTGGCCAAGACCTGGAGGACGCGGGAGGGAAGAGCAGGGCTCCTCCCCGGAAGCCACGGCGGGGATGGCCTGTCTGGCAGTGTCTCGTTACGCGTCCCTATGCGGGGGCCACGTCCTGCCGGGCCAGACGCGCTCAGCTCTGCTGCACCGGCGTCCAGGGGATGAGAAAGGGGCACATGAGCGCACGACAGAGGCGGCTGACACAGAAGGCTGGCATTCCCTGTCCGTGTCCGCTTCCGTTGCTCCCAAGGGCGTTTCCTGGTCAGCACTGGCCGGCACAGGAAAGCCCGCCTCGGGATGGTCTGCGTCCACGCCGGCCGCAGCACTTACCTTGGAGCGAGGCTGGCAGGCTTGGATCCCGCTGGCGAGTCCAGTCCTTCCCCCGGCTTTGCCGTTTTCTCTCGGTTCATTTGCTGCAGGATTGAGTTCAACTCACTAATCACGTTTGCCTTTGGGCCGGAGAGAATCGGGCTTTTGACCTCTGAGATGTCACCCCACAGCCTGGAGGTCCTCGGCTGGATAACCTTTGTGGTCCCGGGCTGGGCCCCGCCGGGGGGCGGCGGGCGTGCCGGCGGGGGGACCACAAAGCTGTCCACGTCCTCCTCCAGCAGCGCGTCGTGGTAGAGCGCGTTGCCTTTGTGAATGATGGGCTTCATTTTTGGCTTAGGAGGTACCGGGGGTTTGTCAACCGTGAACGCTTGCCCGTCTGCATAGACTGTGCAGGTGTCCACGTTCTCGCCGCCCTCGGAGGACAGGGTGGAGATGCTGGAGACCGTGGAGATGGTGCTGGTCGTCTCGAGGTGGTGGTCGCTGCTGCTCCGGCTGTCTGCCTCCTCGATCCCAGAGTCCGTGACGGCATCAAAGCTTTCGGGGGGTGGCAGGAATGAGGCGGGCAGACAGTTCGAAAGGCCAGCTGGCTTCTTACTGTCCGCAGAGTTGGTGGGCTGGCTGGAGTTCAACGAAGGGGACTGGGGGGCGTCGTTTTTCTTCTGCTTGACCAGGTCTGAGAGTGCGGGGACAGAAGCAACGCGGTCATCGGGGATATCAAAACTGTTTGCAAATTCCAGGGGAGGAGGCAGTGGCTCTGTAAAAATAAAATCCTCATCCAGATCCACGGATGCCAGAGGTGGGGGAGGGATGCGGAACGGCAAGATCACCGCCTCCTCCACGGAGCCCGCCGCCACGACGGTCCTGCCGGGCGCGGCGGCCGCGGGCTCGGGGCCAGCGGGGATCGGTAAAGCACCTTCAGTTTCGGGAACGCCTTCTGGCACCTCGGACGGCGAGCGGTCCGGCTTTGTTTCCGCGTCGGCATCCTCGTCCTCTTCCTGCAGGAAGGCGTCCGGCCTGGCTGCGTCCACGGTGTGTACCATCAGCAGGCCGGCCGACTTCCGCTGCGACGCATCCGCGATGTTGGTGGGCGTGCCCTTCTCGTCGCCCTTCCGCTCCTTGCCCAGGTCGGCCTCATACTTGTTTTCCGTCTCCTGCCGCCTCAGGGGCCCCCGCGTGTTCTGCCTGGTGACCGGAGGGAAGCCTGCTTCCCCACTGGGCCGCATTTTGGTGTCGATGTAGAGAGGTTTGTTGAGGTCGGCCTTGGGGGCCTCCCCCTTGGGGCCCTGCTGGGACTCCTTCAAGGCTCGGTCCCTCGCGGAGAGCGCCAGGGCCAGCGGGGAGCTCGGGTCCAGCAGCCTCCCCGTGAGCGGGTGGACATAATTCTCGGGGCCGGCCGCACTGCTGCTCTTGAGGGGAGCTGCAGGGCTGCTCTCGGGCCCCTTGGCTTTGGACGTGGAATTCAGTGGCCTGCCGGCCTCACCCTGAGCTCCGGCCTCGCCACCACCCACAAAGTGGTTCTCGGGCTCCCTGGTCGCCGCCCCTGGCGTGGGTGACGACAGCTGCTCGGTGCTGTCCTCCTCGCCGAACCCGCCCTCCTCGGGGAACTTGGAGGGCCGTGCCTGGGGGGCGGGCAGCCCCAGGCCCACGTCCTCGTCCCCCAGGTCCGTGGACAGGAAGGCCGGCGAGTTCCTCCTGGCCTCCAGCCGCTTCTCCCGGTCGCGGACGGCCCCGGCGATGGCGGCGGCGAAGGGGCTGCTGGCGGTCAGGCTGTCATCGGGCCGCAGCTGGCCCGGCTGCTCGGAGGCCGGGGGCTCGATCTCCGTGCTGCTGCCCTGGCTGCTCTTGCCGCTGCTGCTGGTGGAGGGCTCCTTGACGATGATGGTCGGGATGGGGATGGAGCACGTCTTCTCGGGGCTGTCCTCCACGTTGGACTGCTTCACCAGCATGCCCTTCCGCCTGGCGGGCTTGGCGGGGACGTAGACGGCTTTGCTGGCGACCTTCCCGACCTCGGAGTATGGGTTTTCGGGCATCTGGCCCCTCTTGCCGCGGAAGGTGGCCTGGGCGGCGGCGTTGCGGCTGTAGAGGTCCTCGGAGTCCAGGGAGTAGCGGTCCAGCTCCCTCCTGTGGTACAGCCCCTTCTCCCTCAACATGGTGGCCACCGTGTCGGAGCGAGCTGCCGGGGACACCTTGGCGGCGGAGTTCTGATTGAACGCGGGCTTGATCGTCCCGTAGACTCTGGGAGTTGGGGACTTGGGGCAGTTGTAGGCGGTGGGGGAGGGTGGGGGAGGAGAGGGGGGCACCGACTGTGGCGGGGGGGGGATGTCCTCGGAGGTGTCCGGCATGGACAGGCTTCTGGTGAACTTGAGCATCGGAGGGGCCAGAAATTGCCGCTCTTCGCCCGTGATTCCTGCAAGTAGAAGGCAGGTTTAGATTTAAATCACGGCAGTGACGCACACCCCGCTCAGCTCCTAGGATGGCGCGACACGCTGTGTCTCTGCAGACGCACAGAGAATCACGATGCACACCGTTCACAGAATGCAGCACAAGCCACGATGCCGAGGGGTCACGGGGCCCATTCGGAGCCAAAGCAGAAGGGAAAGGCCCCGCGAGGCCCGGAGTGCGTGCTGTTGAGAGAGATGGTGCCCAGAGCGACGGGCGCGAGCCGACTCCCCGGGGTTCGTGTGCGCACGTGTGAGCGTGTGTCGGGGGCCGGGGTGGCCTGCATCAGGGGCCATCCATCCCTTCAGGCTTGGCCAGGGCCCCCGGTGGGCGTTTTCGGGTTTGGGACTGAGGCTGTCGAGCTGCGTGTCAGAAACGAGGGCACAGGGAACACAGGTGGCTGCACTGGCTCATGGGACGCGGATGGTGCCGCCGTCCCGGGGGCTGCAGGTATGCGGGGAGGCCTGGCGCCCTCGAGCAGAGCCCTGTGCGTATGGAGACCCTAGGGTGGCCTCTCCTGCTCGACAGGAACCCGTTTTGTTGCCTGGCTTCTCTGGGCCCCCGAAGGGTACTGGAGCTCCCCAGGCCCTCGGGAGGATGGCTGAGCGGCCCTGGCAGGAGAACGCGCTGCATGCAGCACGCCAAGAGCCTCTAACCCGAGACCCCAGCCCAGGCCGGGAGAGGGTCCTGGCCAAACACTCGGCCGCCTGGCCCAGCGAAGCCCTCTGGGCCCTAAGACCCTCTGGGCTGGGCCGAGGGGCCCGGTGGTTTACCACGGTCCCCACTGACCACGGTCCGAGTTGGAGGACTGGACCTATGGAGCCCGTGGGTGTTGGGTGAGAGAGGGCGCTGAGGGGCCCGCAGGGGCGACGGCCGCATCCGGCCGCGTCGGGCCCCAGAGCCTCTGGTGTGTCCACTGGGTGGACTTTCAGATTCTTTCCGATACAAGATACAAAAACATCAACGGAACGCACTCCGGACACAGGAAGCAGCACATGGACACGGACGCTGACAGATGTCAAGTACGAGGGTCTCGCGTGGGGGGCATGCAGGTTTTTCAAAGAGGTAACAAAACGAATCACTCCAAATCAAAAACGCTCCTAGGACAAACTACAATAATTTATTCCAGTGAGAAGTTCCATTCGATAAGGGTATTCCAAATTTCACATACTCCTTGTGGGAGGGCGTTTTGGCATCGCAAAGATGGTTGCTCAGAGGCCTCTCATTGAGCGTGCGTACGTGGCGGCTGCCTGACAGTTAGGATCCCAAGGAGCAGTGATTTAAGAACACGCCTTATGGAGGGATTGTTACATTCACACTGCAGATGCCAAACTGTAAGGTTCACTGACCTGATAGAAAGATTCTGCTGTCTGACAGGAGGAAATCGACTGTTATTAAGCAGTTAGAGAGCCAGGGGCAGGAGATGGCGTGAGCGCTACTCTGCGGTGGCCCCGAGCTCCTGGGGGGACCTTGGGGACCGGCAGACGCCACCTCCGCCATCCCTTATCGTTCAGTTCCTGCCAGCTGCCACCCCTTCAAACTAGCGACAGAGGCGCCAGGCCTGAGACCGCAGTGCTGGACACACAGAGCAGCGCCGCGCCCCCCAGTGTCCAGCAGTGGCCTTAGCTTCTCTGAGAATTTACACGGTAAAGACAGTGCTGGATTATCTCACAAAGGGGCTGTCTGAAGGGGTCACGTTTACCTTGCCTGGAACAGAGTCAGCAGGAACCACGCGAAGTTATTAACAAGAAGTTAGCGGTTTCCCGCAGCGCATAGTACGTCGTACCCGCAGAGCGCGAGAACCTGGCCCAGCCACCCTTAGAAGTGTGTCCATCGAGCTCATCCACAAAGCGCGGCGGTGGCCGTTCGCAGGGGACCTGGGCCCACCCCGCCGGCCCACTCTAAACACGCAGGGTGGGGGCGAGGGGCTTCCTGGACGTCACCTGCCCACCTCCACCTCCCTCCTGACTGCGGCCCCTCACCCTGCTGGTATTATCACGGATACTTGGCTTGTGAGGCCGGGAAGCCACCCTGGATTCGGTATCCAGAGGGTAGGAGAGTTTCAGACGGCTCAGGCGGTCAAGGCCTCCCTGGGGGTGAGGCCGGTGCCCGTCCTCTGGTGGGCGGGCCTGGGGCCTCTGAGGGGCACTGCCGAGGGTGCTGAGAGCCAAGGGGCACCTTTGCGGGTGTGGCCACGCTGCTTACCTATTGATTTTTGCCTTCGCATCGTACCTCGAGGGAGGCCCAGAAATGGGCCTTTCGGGCTCCCAGGAACGGTGGGCGTCATCACGGCGATCCCCTGGCGTTCGTACACGGACTGCAAACCAGAGAGCCCGGGGTGAGCTGTGTCAGACCAGCGCCACCCACGGCAGCCAGACAGGGAAGCCCTGGGCAGTGGACACCTGTCACGGGGCTTCCCCCAGCTGCTTCTGGGGAGCACCTCCATGTCCAGCTGAGGCTGACGACGGGCCACACCAGCGTCCAGGACCCAGAAGGGGGCCCTGTCTGCCCTCAAAGTGCCGATGAGCCCTGCTCAGCGGAGCCGTGGTCTGCCTGACATTGACTGAGAATGGCCAGGACGGATGTCCTGTAGGAAAGAGCATCTGGTGGTGGGCAGTGGGGTCCAACCTTGGCCACGTCCGCCTCCGCAAAGTGGGCTGACCACAGTGGCCCAGAGTGGGGGACAAGCCAAGTGCCGTGCCCTGGGGCATGTGGGCCCCGCGGCAGGCGGGCTGCCCGTCCTTCCTCCTCCGCCTGGTCCAGGAGGAGCCTCGCGCGTCCCTCCTTCGCTTTGCAAACAGCTTCCCTGTGCAGCCCCTGCCCAAGCTGCTGCTTCCTCGACTGGAAGACAGGTTGCTGGCCGGCCTCACCTCACCTCGCGGCGTCGGAGGGCTACTTGGAACAGCCGGGTGCGAGGCCCGAAGGAAACAGGCGTGTGCGCGCCCAGGCTGTTCCCGCGTGACCCAGTCTCGCTGGGCTCTGGGTGTCTGCCCGGCCCGGGGCTTGGAGGGTGTCTGGAACGAGCTGGGTACGGGGTGCCGTGGGGGGGTCGGGGGTCGGGACGCAGGGCCCTGGAGGAGCTGCCTGGGCCTTCTGGAGATGAGGGGAGGCAGGGGGCATCCTGTATCGTGCACTACGCAAAACCGTCACATCGGACCGATGATACTTCTGGGCGTTATTAGGAAGAGGCGGGGTTAAACAGAGAGTCAGTGTGAAGTGATTCAGAGAAGATGCAAAGTCAGGAAGTAATCGTGACAGGTGGTGCTCAGACCGGCAGCAGGCACGAAGCTGGGGTGGAGAGGGCCACGTCTGGAACCTGAGAGAAGCAGCCTGCCCAGACGATGGGCAGCTCTGCCAGCCTGTCGTGGCCCGTGGTCTCTGCTAACCGCCCCCAGGGAATAACGGTGGCCTGAGACCTCGGAGGGGCGGGGTCCCAGGCGTATGCAGAGGCCCTGCTCCCCAGGGTGGTGGGGTCGGGCCTCGTCTGCCCCGGAAGGCTGCCTTTTCGCTCCGGGTGGCCTACGGGAAGGCCCTTGGGGCGAGTTACTGAGCCGGTCACGTGGTGGCCCGCCCCCCCCACTGCGGGTCTGCGCTGGAATGGGGTGCCTGCCGCGCGTACGCAGATTGGGGCTCCGGGTCTGGACGCTGGGGAGGGTGAACTGCAACCGCGAGGTCTGCCCACGTCGGCCTGCCGCCCGCTCCCCCAGCCCAGCCACTCACGTTCACGTCCGAGACAGAGGGGAAGCACCGGCTGGTGGGCCGCTGCTTGATGGTGGCCACCCTGGACTCCACTGCGACGCTCTCAGCAGTTCGGGATGGCTTGGAGGCTGGGACTATCTCGTCGGGTTTATCTGCAACGTGAACATGACCGTCAGGACGGGCGTCGGTGAGCAAAGCCCCAAAACACAGTCGGGCGAGGGGCTGAGGTAGAGAAACGCCCGAGTGCCCTGTGCCTTCACGGCGCACGCGGCCTGTCGCTGTGGTGTGGAGCACGCCTGCCTCTCGGCCACAAGCGCTGACACTGACAGGACCTGTCCCCCAAGCCGTACCCCCCCCCCGCCGGGTGCACGTGGACAGGAGGGGAAGGAGACCCTCGCGGAGGCAACGCAGCCTCGGCACCGGAGGCTCCGGCACTCAGGGCGTCGCTTTGTTCATACTAGCGCGGTTTATTCTTGCTGGTGGGGGAGCCAAGCCAACGTTTTGAACATTTTTCTTTTTAAGAGCTCAGAGGTGTGGCTCCTTTGAAACTAAGCGCAGTTGCCAGGGTCTAAGGACCCAGCACCCAGGGCTGGAGGCGGCTGGGCAGCGTGGGTGTAGGCAGGGGTAGAGGTGGGGAGGGGAGGCAGCCCCCCCCCCGCCACCCGCTCAGGAGCCAGTTGACGTTTGTGCCTTGCTGTGCGGGGGAGTCCCCCCTCCCCCAAGAGCTGAACATTCTCAGTTCCTTGTGAAAAAGAAAGCCCAGGGTTAGTTATCAGTGATGCTTACAGATTAAGAAATGATTTTAAAATTTAAATTTAAAATGTTACATTTGGGGGGAAACCCGAAACTGGAGCACGTCCTGGACCCGCCCAACACCCTGGCCTCTGCCCGCAGGCCGTCTGAGCTCAGGCACCGGCGTCTGATCAGGGCTGTTACAGCGCAGGACCCTGGTTTGCTGACACCAGGGGCGCCCGGGGTGGGGTGGGGCAGAAGCCAGCGTGAGGCGGGCCTGGTGGGAATCTCCCACTTTGGACCCTGTGAGGCACTGCACTCTCCCGGCCACCCCCCGAGAACATTCTGTCCACAGCTCGAGGTCTCCTCCTAGCTCACCCCACACCCTTCTGGGGTCTTGTGACACCCCACAAAGCTCGTGCCGTCAGAAAGGCCCAGGCCTCTGGGGTCTCGGCAGCCCCAAGCTGCGAGGCCAGCGTGAGAGTCTGGGCAGGAGCTCCGGGTTTAAGGCCCATGGCCACCCAGGAAGAGCGCAGCCCCTGGAGAGGTCCCCACAGTCCCCAACAGGCAGGCCTCCGGCTTCACGGGGCCCCTTCCTGGTCGGTGCCCAGCCACATCCTGGACCAGGGTGAGGGCCCCACAGTCCCAGGTCGCCCGCTCAGGGAAGGCCGAGGAGCTCAGGCACGGCAGCTCGCGGGAGGCCCTTCCTGACCCGCCAGCTGGCACGGGGACTTCCAGGTCCTCCGCCCCCGCATCCTCCCGGCTCCTGGCCTCCTCGGGGGACACTGGCAAGCACCCGCCCTCTTAGGGGGTCGGTTGGAAACACCCATGTCTCTGGCCAGCCCAGCTACCGTTGCGGTGCCCCTTAGCGCCCAGCCTCGTGGCCCAGCCTCGCCTCTGACCCTCCTCCTTTTGCCAGATCCCCTGCCCCACCTCCCCAGTCCCAGCGACGTGCCTCCTTCAGGAAGCCTTCCCCTCGGGTCTGGGCCAGGATTCTCTTCAGGCTGGGGTTTAACTTCTTCCTGTGCTTGTCTCTCCACCCCACCCCGCCCCTTGGCTAGAGGACTCAGGGTCCTTGGCTGACGTCCCCAGTGAGCCCATGGTGACCTGCAGGTCCCCTTGGCTCCTGGAAGCCGGGCACCTCCCCGTGGCTGTCGGCTTTGCTTCGGCTGAGGTGCAGCTCTTTCTCCAGCGACGGCGGGGAGTCAGGTCTGTCTCCCGCGTTGGGACCTTCGTCCGCAGGTTCGGCCGTCTTCTCAGGCCCAGCCTTAGCTTCAGCCTGTGCAGCTCCGCTAGGCTCCCCCCCTTCCCTGGGGCCTCCAGGAACGTGGGCCTGGAGGGGATGCCGCTGAGTTAGGGAAAGGGCGACTCTCCCGTGGGGGGCACTGCAGGTGGGGAGCTCGGCCGCCGTGCAGCTGGCCACGTCAGGGCACAGCACGGGGCGAGGGCCGAGGGGCTCCGGGACCGGACGGCTCTCCTGGGATGGAGAGTTACACCAGCTGGACCTTCCAGAGGCTCCTATCTCCAGCTGGGCCCTGCGAGTCCATGTCTGGTTCCCCCCCCCCCGCCCCCAGCACGCTTGGGGCCTCAGGCATGTGGCAGGCACCCCCAAAACACACCTCGGTGGTGGGTGTGCACAGGTGAGGCAAAGGCGCCATCATTAATGACAGCAGTCCCCGACCCCGTGGAAATTCTCGGCACCTTCATCCCGTTTCTCATTCTAACAGGAATCTGGCCATAGGGGAGGGGTCATTCCCATTCTGCAGAGAGAACAGCTGGGGATCTGGGATGCCTAAGGTCATTCGTGCAGGTGGAACTCCGGGAGCAGGTGGGAACTTGGGCTCCATTGGGGTCACCTGGCCCCCGTGTCCACCCCGGGCCAGGGTGCCGAGCCGTGGCTGACAGCAGCCATCCAATGGGTTGCCGTCGGAACGGCCCGCCTGGTCCAGCTGACTGGAAGGTCGGGGCGCCGTGCCCGCACAGTCACGCCCCATCCACACTGGGTCTGGGGTGTGATTGAAGGTGTATCCCCTGGAGCCACAGCGACCTTGCGGCGGACGTCCTGGTCCTTGTTTAAGCCTTTGCCCTCTGGTCTCCACGCCACCTAAGCGTTCTTTTGAACCAGAACACGCGAGAGCATCTTGGTCTGTGGGGTTGGGTCAGGCGACCTTGCAGTGGGCGTCCTGGTCTTTGTTTAAGCCTTTGCCCTCTGGTCTCCACGCCACCTAAGCGTTCTTTTGAACCAGAACACGTGAGAGCATCTTGGTCTGTGGGGTTGGGTCGGGGGCTACTGTTCTGTCCTCAGTGACAGCGAGTTAGTGCGGTTTTGTGCGGTTCTTACATAGAAGGCCACCCTGCGTCGCTTCCCTTCCGGGGGCCCAGGTCCCCTCCTGGCCCTCGTCTCAAAGGGAGGCTGGTGGCCTGACTCGAGACTCTGCTCAGCCCCTGTGCTGGAGGGTTGGTTTGCCTGCATGTGAAGCTTTGGAGAAAAGCCGTGACACTGGGTTCCTGCTTCTCTTTCTGGGCTCGTAAGGATTATTCACGGTTTGTAAGAGCCTGGAGTTGCGTCTCTAGTCAAGGATTCCAGATGAAGAGGATTAGTGAGTCCAGCCCCCTGCAGTCTTAAAATGAAGCACTGAGGCTGAAAGCAGTCCTGCAGGCCGACTGGGAAGCTGTCAACCCTTGAGAAACAATCCAGTAGGGAGTTGTGGAAACACTCTGGAAGGGACCCCCGTATTTTAACTTTCTAAGCAGATGAAGTCTGGTGCCCACTGTACACAAGGCTGCACCCTTCCTGGGTGGGGAGGGCGGGTGGTGGATGTCACGCATGGGTGGGTCGCGTCCAGCCACGTGTCTCTTGGGAACCAGAGCACAGCTGGGGACCCCTGCCTGTCACCGGAGTCCCCACCCGGGGCCCTCCCCTGACCACAGGCAGGGTCACCCGCGTGTCCGAGCCCTCCCGCAGGAGAGATCCCAGCTCGTCCAGCAGATGTCGCCGGCTTTGCAGGAGGGAGGCATCAAGTCGTGGAGTGAAACAACCCCCGACATCGGGGCGAGCTGGGGAAGCGGAGGCCGCCCCGCGCTGATGCGGCACACCCGGCTGCGAGAGGCGCCTGTGGCCGTGTTTCCCGCTGCACTGCTCCCCGGGGGGCAATGGGGCGCCCACTGCAGAGACTCTGTGACCCCCATCTGCCTGTGGCCACGTGCCGGACTGGTTCCAGCACCCCTGCCCCTCAGAACCGTCAGGAGAGCATCCCAGGTGCTCCAGAAACGTCCGGCAAGGCCGGGATTGGGATTCTCAGCCCCTCCAGCTTTTCGGGCAGGTGGCTTCATGGAATGTGTCCTAATCCTGGTGCTGTCCAGGAAGCCTGTCCCTCCTCGTGACCTTGAACAGCTTGTTTGCCAGGCTCTCTGGTGGGCAGGGCCAGCCTTGCCCTGTCTCAGGGTGAGAGGGCACGGCACACACAGCTTCCAAGAGGAAAGCCAAGTGCCGACGGCACTGACGTCACAGATGATGAGCCGCTCGTGCCGAAGCAGCAGCTGTTGCCAGCTGCCCGTCTCTTGCTTAATCGTCCCAGGAGGCCGTGCGGGAATGGGGGCGGGCGGTCTGACCCCAGCAGACTGTCCCTGGCCTGTGGGCCCTGACAAGGGATGGGCCCGCGGGAGCAGCCAGAGGTGCCCGCGGGGCCTGGAAGCTGTGGTGAAGCCGGTCCCAGCGGCTCTGTCCTGGAGCTGCCCTGGGCCAGTGTGGCGCTTGTGGTGGTCCTGCGCCCCCGGTGCCCGTGAGCATGGTGTCTGGGGACCAGAGCAGGTCCTCAGGAAATACTCGAGGCGTCTGAGCTCAAACTCTCATCCAGTTTTCTCCACTCTTTGAAGGAAGGTGGGTCCCCCTCTCCAGGACTCTGGCCTGTCCTCTGTGCGACTCTGCCCTGGCCCAGGCTGGCCGTGCGGAACACGACTTTTGTCCTTCTGTCACAGCCCGGGGTGTTTGTTTGGCTGCTGGGGCCCCTGGGGGCGGGTGGGGGCAGGCCACACACGCCCCCAAGGCTGGCCGGCTCCGAGTCTGAGCTTCCCCCCCCCCACCCCGACAACAGACTTTCACGGCTAGCCCTGTTGTGGCCACGGGGCTCCTGCAGCCCCCTGGTGCGGTGCCTCTTCTGGAAGTTACGAAGTTACGGTGGACGGAGGGGGCTGTTTCTGCCAGCTGGCGTGGGCCTCGGATCGAAGCGGGGGGGGGATTCAGAGGGAAAGGTAATCCCAGGAAACTTCCTGTGCCCTGGGCGTCCACCACGTGGTTGACACAGAGACCCATCCTAGAAAGCCCACTGGGAATTTTCCCGGGCAGCCCCTGGGGGTTGCGGGGGGCGGTTCAGGACTGCTCCAGAGAGAGGCTGCGAGGGTTAGCCTGCCTCTGGGGAGACACTGGGTGAGAGAGGAGGCGCTTTCCGGAGCTCCAGGACCCGCGACCCTGCCCCCAGATATTGCCCTGCTGGGTTCTGAGACCCGCCTCCCCATCTCAGCGTTTCGGTACCGTGCTGTGTCTTAGCGGTAGCGCCGCGGGCCTGTGAGAGGGTCACTGCCTGCTCCTGAACTGACAGTGCTGCTTTTAGTCGCTGGGGTAGTCGTCTCCAGCTACTAGGTGAGAAACCCCCCAGATGTGGCGCTGCTGTGGGAGGGGCTGGTGTAGCTGCTCACGGCACAGGCACAGAGGCTGGGTCCTCCGTCTCCACGCCGGCCTGGGGCAGGGGCGGGGAGCGGCATGGCCTTGCAGCTGCCCCCAGCTCAAGGGCAGTCTTCCTGCACATGTAGAGCAGGCCTCCTGGAGAGCGGGGTGGGGGGGTTTTCTAGAGCTGAAGGGAGGCGGCAGCCGCCACCCACGGCAGAGGGCGCTCAGGGGTCCATTTGCCAGGGACCCTGCTGGCCTGCGTCCTGGCCAGCAGCCACGGAGGCTGCCTGCCCCCCCGACCCAGGCAGGCCCAGCTGTGACAGGGTGCAGGGTCCCCACAGTTACGATGATGTAGACACGACTTGGGGAGACGCAGAACACGCTGGGGCACCACAGACGGGAGGGGCGGGGCGGGGCAGGTGTGACAGACTGAAACGGGAGGAGTCCTGGGGCTGGGCCCCCTACAGGACCCCGAGCAGGGAGAAGACAGTACAAGGTCACGGCACGTTTTAGACTCGACGCTGAGGGCCACAGGCGTGCGTGCAGGGGGTGAGACAGACACCGGTCGCCCCTTACCCTTCTTCTTCCGGACGGAAGCTTGCAAACAGAAAGGGGAGTGTGAGTCCCGTGGTGGCGCTGCCTCGCTGGGGGCGGACTGCCCACCACGCGCACCCCTGGCTCGGGCACACGCGGGTGGGCAGGGACGCACTGGCTACGCTGTCCTGGGACCTGCCGGCTTGTGGCCTGCCTTTTCTGACTTGCTCTCCGGCAAACCTGCTTCCCGTGGGGACAAGGGGCTTTCCTCTCACTCAGCACCCGCCCCTGCCTGGCACCCTGCCAAGCTGGACCGCGTGAGCCAAGGCAGCTCGTAGGAAGGACCCTCACAGTGCCCTGAGCTGCGCCCCCTTAAAGGTGACCTGCCCGCGGGTCCTCCTGGGGGAGCCCGCGTGGCACATGCTGCCTGGCTTTGGAGAAGCACGGGTGATAGTTCCCACTGTCATCCCTGTCGGGGGCTGGGCCCGGCCTGGGGTTCAGGGGGCGTTTCCTGGAGAGTCCTGTGTGGGCACGGAGGGGCCAGAGGAAAGGGGCTCTGGGTGGAGGTGGGCAGCCCCACAGCACTGCTGCCCTTTTCTAGAAGACCTAGGCCTCCAGCTGAGCTGCAGATCCTAGACGCAGGACATGGTGACAGGTGAGGGGGCCCTCGCTGGGAGACAGCCTGGGGAGGACAGAGTGTGGGAGACCCTCCCAAAAGAGCTGCAGGGAAGAAGGGGCTGCTCGGTACGAGGAAAGGGCCAAAGGAGAGGGTCTCCCCCTGAAGGCTGGGACCAGGTGGCAGCGACAGCAAGTGAGGATGCTCAGACTCGCAGCCCCGGGACCAGCTGGGCCTGACGATTTGTTCTGTGCCCCCGTAACCTGCCCTGGGCAGAGCTCACAGATGCTTCCCCTCCCTGCCCACCGAGCCGTCTCAGCGGAGTAAGCCGTCAGTCCACTCGCCCACTCCCGTGTGGTCAGAGCAGCCTCCTCCGGGAGGTGTCCCTGGGCGCCGTGGTGACACCCAGCGTGGCGTCTAACCGGCACCCGGAGTCATCCCTCTTCATCAGCCACGCGGCCGCTAGACCCAGGGCTCACGTTGCTCTGCGTATCCTTCCCCAGGCCACGTGGTGGGGTCCAGCGGCCACAGCCCTCTGTGCTTTGCAGTCCTTTCGAGAAGGCACCAGGAGCTCCCTCCACTTGGCCTGCAGCCCCCCAGGCCCGCCAACCCCTCTGCCATCTATGCCAGACGCCAGGGCCGCAGCTTTCTGGTCTGAGCCACACGGTGGGAAAGATTCTGGGGGGAACCCTAGACGGCGGGGGGGCTGCTTGGGGGGAGGGGCCACAGTGGGGCAGCTTACCTTTATCCACTAGTGAGAGGCCCAAAAATTCAAAACAAAACAATGTTAGACGAACCAAAAGGAGGTTAGGCGAAACTACTAACCACCCCCGAAGCTGGCAGGGCCCCAGCGGGCCAGCGTGGGAGCGCCGCGCACGGGGGCGTTTCCTGACCCCTCTCCGGGTGTCGGGGCCAGGAGAGGGGTGAGCGAGCAAGCAGAGGGCCATGCAGAGGCTGGGGCGGCCCGGACGTGGCACTCACCGAGCTCCTCCAGCTCCGAGGTCATGGACTTGGAGCGCAGCGTGAGGGCCGTGGTCGGGGCGCGCTTCGGGGGTGGAGGAGCTTGGGGGGCAGACAGGAGGGAGGGAGGTGAGGGCCGGGCCCCAGTGCCGCCACCCCCTGCCCCTTCCAGAACAGACGGCAGGTGGGGCCCCTGGACCTGCTGGGAAGGCTGAGATGGGGCCTCCCCCTGGGTGGGGAAGCTGGTACCGGAGGTCCCGACGTGCTTCTCCAGTCTCTTTCCTGCTGGGGAGTGGCTCTGGCCTGCTCCCGGCGCCCCTCCGCAGGCCTTGCTCAGCCCCAGTGTCCCCCAGCTGTGACCTCCCTTGGGAAGGAGGGTGGGCCCAAGGACCTCTCCGTTCCACGGGCCCAGGCTGCATGCCATCACAGTGACCGATACAGGTCAGTTTGGAGCAGGAGCCCCCAGGCCCCTGTCTGCTGAGCACAGCCCTGGCCTGAGGCCGCCCACCACTCCCTGTGGGCCAGCCCGAGTCCCCTCCTAACCTCCTTTTCTGACTTGTTTCCTACTCTGGGGCAGGGGGAACGGGACCCCCCCACCCCCAGTGGCAGATGGGGCACACCTCGCAAGTGCCTGAGCACAGGGGGCTGGGGGGGAAGAGCCCTGCCCCCCACCCACCCTTCGGGCAGGGCTGGCGGCTGGGAGGGCACCTTTCTTCCTGGCCGTGTCGTCTGGGTCGAGATTCCTGGTCACTGTGACCACCTTGAGGACGAGGTGATTCCCTCCCTGGCGGATCATGTTCACCACCTGCCGGTGGCCGACCTTCACGACATTCTCGTCGTTAACCTGCGGGGAGAGAGGGCAGGGCGGTGAGCTAACGGGATCCCAGCGCCCAGCTGGAGGGGGGCACACGTGGGCAGGCCCCGTGGGAGCGAAGGTGCCTTCGGAAAACCGAGCAGAAGCCGCGCGGCCTGGAGGGTGAGGCCGGGCCTCCTGCAGCCCAGAGCTGGTCACCGGCCGGGGCCGCTTTCTGGGAGTGAACGTCCCTGCGGCTGCTGTGAGGAAGGCAGACTGGGCTCCGAGCAGGGAGAGCCTCCTTGATGGCCCAGGCCCCATCCCCTCCCAGGTGGGCCCTGGCACCTGCTGTCCGGACCCCAGCTCCTGGTGTGAGGGCCGGGCACGGAGGGCGGCACAGAGAGCGAACCCACAGGAGGTGGGGTCCATGGCGGCTCCAAGCGCTGTCTTCGAGGAAAGAAAACCGCCCTAATGATTGAGAACTGATAAGCACTGAATCCTGCCCAGGCTTGCGGTCGCCAGTCCACGTTTTGCTGTACTTCTTTCTCCCGCTGTGGATTTCTTAAAAGCCGTCAGAGTGCAGTGTAGCCACAGACAGAAGAGTCAGCAGGGTTTGGTGAGGCTTCACGAATCCAGCACCCCACGCAACCAGACCCCAGCGGGCGCACCAGGTGCCCGGCTCTGACGACCAGGACCCAGGCGAGCGGGTCTGCTCATCTCTGCGGGCCTCTGCAGGCCAGCTCGGTCTGCTTCACCCCGGCTCTCCCGGGGCCCAGGAACCCCTTCAGGCCTGGACGGGCAAACCAGACAGCTGGCCCCCGGGGAAGGGCAGTTCAGGAGGCTGCCTGGGAGGGGGAGATGCGTCCGGTTCCGGGCGGCAGCCGCAGTCTGTGCAGTGACTCCTAGCGGCTCTCCTGTTCACTGATTGTCTCAGAGTGCGATTAGGGAGCCAGATGAATTCAGGAAGTAAGAAGTGCGGTGGAGAGTTGGGCCAGGAGAGGGACGGCTGTCCCCGAGCTTGCCAGGATGGAAGAACGGGCCCAACTCAGCCAGACCACAGCTACCCGGGACACGCAATCCGAGGCACGTGGGTCTCCCTCCCTTGCGTCTCTCCTCCCACAAGTGCGCTGAGACAGCAGTGCTCGTTCGTTAATTCCAGCCACCACTCTTGCTCTGAGGGCCCTCAGTCCAGGAGGTACAGGGGGTGGACGGTCCGTCCCCACCCTCCGGGGGCTTACATTCTCATGGGGGAGTCGGACGGCATGGAAGTCAACGAACAATGTCAGCTCAGCTGTGCTGAGTGCCACCCGAGAAAGCAGGGCCGGCGAGAGAGGGGCAGGCGCTGTGCACAGGCATTGGGTCATGGTGATGGGGCACCGGACAGCCGGCGCAGCCAGGGCCGGGCTCTGAGGCGAGCATGAGCCTGGCACGTTCGTGGGACAGCAAGATGGCCAGGGGCCCAGAGGGCCAGAGCAGTGTGAACCCAGCGGGGAGGAGGGGGTAGAAGAGGAGCCTGGGTTCTGAGAGGCCCAAGGCCCAATCAGCGAGGCCCTGAGTGCCAGCTGAGACCTTAGGCTTTGAGCGTGAGAGGGATGTGGCAGACTGATGTTTCAGGAGCGTCAGTCACTTGGGATGGGAGGAGGGGGTGGGGCAGAACCCGGGCTGGGAGCACGGGCTGCTTGGACCGGAGGGAGGCAGGAGGGGTGGGGAGACCTGGTCAGGTCTGGAACCATGGGACGCGGCGACGTGGGTTGTGTGGGACGGAGCTGCCCGAGGCCCTGGTGAGATGCCTGCAGCACAGACGGCCCCCGGCCGCCCACCCGTCAGGCCTCGGTGGCCAGCCCAGTGCGAGGAGGGCGGACCGAGAGGAGGACCGCATCCTGCCGCTGATGGGCGGGCCCCTGCGCTATTCGTGATGGGTCAGTGCAGGCATGGGGAGGGGCTCAAAGACCCCCCCAAGGACGAGCGCGACATCTGCTCCAGACGGAAGGAGCAGCTTCTCAAGCCCACAGTGGGTAGCAGCCCCTGCCATGGAGCCCACCCTGACCGTGGGCCCCTCACGCTCTTCTTTCCCCTTCCGTCTCCCCTCAGCCACACCCAACTTAAGTCCACACGCTGCTTTGCAAGTAAAGAAGCTCTGGACGAAGGCCGGCCCCCAGAGCAACACGCACACCAAGGCCGGAGCCGCGGCTGCACAGGTGGCGCTTCAGCAGCAACAGCATGGAGGTGTCAGGTGGCTGTGCTGGGACGCACATGAATGCCCTCTTCCAGGAAGGCACAGAAACACCAGCAGCACAGTTCAGCCTGGAATCAGTAAAACGCCCGTGACCAGCGAGGCGGGATGGGAACATGCAGCTCCGTCCTCCTCCCAGCACAGAGGGACGGAGAGCAAAGAGCAGAGCTGCAGTTTAGTTTCCAGCCTTCTAACAAACTGAAACTTCAGTTTAACCAGAACGGGACTGTGGAGCCAGCTACAATCCTTAAAGCAGACGCTCCACATTGCTCGTGTGGCGACAGGAACCTCGGAGACTGAGTACGTGAAATGCTTGCTGTTCCTCAGTTGCCCACTGAACTCTCATGGTCCCTCAAAAACCAAAACAACCCCAAACACACACACACCACACTGGGCCTACAATTCTGGCATGCTGCCACCAGGAGGTGTGTGCCTTAAGCAGCCACCACGTTTACAGGTGAAGCCAAGTCCTGAAGATACGGCCTTGGAGCAGGTCCAGTTACCTGGAAGAGAGTACCATTCTCTCCACTGCGTCATTCTCACATACAGGGTGCGATCATGCAGGGAGTAAAGCACGGCCACATCCCGGCAGAGGGCAAGAATACCAGCCTGGCCACCACCTTGGTTCAGGGAACTTCTGCCTGCCTTTACACACTTTCATATCTTCCTAAATAATTCTCTAATTCCACTTAAATTGTTACTGGAAGTATCAAGCTTGTATGTGTACATAGTTTAAAGAGGCAGAATTCTACAAGGCTTGTTACAAAGCCAACAGGACCTCACCACCTAGCCCCACTTCTCATTCCCAGAGCCTTCAACCAATTCTTTCTATACCCATCGCTGCACCTCTCCCCATGCTGCTACTTGATGCGTTAATTTTAGGTATCATCTGCTGACACACCACCACTGAAAATGATGGTCTAGCTCAGCGTTCTCAGCTGTGGCACTACTGCAGCTCGGGACCCAGCAGCTCATTGTTCGGGCATGCACTGCAGGTTGTTCAGCAGCATCCCTGCGTTCTACCCACCGGGTCCAGCAGTCCACTCCCCCCCAGAGTGACAACAGGAATGTCTCTAGCCATTGCCAGTTGTCCTCTGGGAGGTCGAAGTCACCCTCAGCTGAGGCTGAGAACTACGAATTTAGCTTTTTCTTCATCCCCCGTACCACCAGTTTTCCAGGACTTCCATCCTCAGGTGATTGATAGTGACATAGTAGTTTTAACCAGATCAACATTCAGGGTTTACGTCATGACTATCTAACATCTGTCTACAGGTAAACCACATGGTATACTATGATTACTTTGCCTTTTCCAGTGCGTTTTGTTTTCCCTGGAGTGAAGTAATTTTCTGGTGTTTTTAGACTGGTTTAATTTTCTGTGTACTTAACAGTAATTCAAGTCCAAACACTTCCTTAATTATGTAAATCTCTTTTCAAAATCTTCAGGTACATTGGATGTCTTGTTAAGTTTGTCTTCTTGAACAAATCACTCCTGAAGACTTCTCTAACAGTGCGGCGGGTTCAGTGTTCTCTTGGCCTGTGTCCCCCCGTTACTGTCACCCTCAGGATTCCTTCTGATTCTGTCTTGTGTTGGATCTTCTGAACCCTAGACCACATGTATGTATTTCTTTGATTCAAAACCTCATTTCTGGTAGAGGACGTTCTCCAGTAGTCTTCCAATAAAAGGAGTTTGGGAGGTGATTTTTTTTTAGACATTGTCTATTTGAAAAGGGCTTTACATGCACACTTAAATAGTAGTTTGCCTGGGTATAAAATTTGAGGTTGGAGGGTAGGTAAGGTAAAGTAAGCTCCTAAGACTAACTCTTCTGCAGGTAACAACTGTAAAGTCTGGACAGAATATAGTCCCTCATCCTCAAACCCAAACCAACAAAAACAGTTCCTTGAAAGCTCTGGAACATGAACAAAGGTAGGCAGATTTTGGGTGGGAGTGGAAAAGCGGAAGCTTTGGGCCATGGACACAGAGTGGTGTGAGTTACCTGATGCTCTGGTAGAAACCGCAGCCTTTCTGGTTTGAGAAATCAGAGGACAGAGCCCTTTGTGTCCACAGCGGCCAAAGCGAGGGGTGAATTCCAGAGAGGAGAGGGCCAGAGAAGAGTAGTTCCGTGTTCTGTGTGTACACTCTTCCCAAGTCTGTGGTTGACATCTGAACTATGTGTGCACAGGGCCAGCTCCAAATAGCTTGCAGATAAGGCTGTAAAGCACCTGAACTGATACTTGAGCAGCTGCCACAGTAGGCTAGAGAGTTTGCATGTGAGTGTAACCAGGGCAGCTGTCAACTAAGGCAAAAACACCGGCACTCACGCAAGAAGTGTAACAGAGTCTGCAGTTGCCACAGCGCAACACTCACAACATTCAGGATACGATACTAACTTACCTGATGAATCCACAGGTGACCAAGGTGTTGGAATTATTAGACGAGGACTTTGAAGCAGCTATTATAACAATACTCAGCTGGGTAAAAGAAAATATACTCTTAATGCATGAAAAATAGGAAATTCAGCAAAGAAAAAAAAAACATGAGAAATGTTACAGCTAAAAAAAATAGAGTATCTGAAATTTAAAAAAGCACTGGATGGGTTTAATAGCAGAATGGATATGACAGTGCAAAGAGTGAACTTCAGTACAGAAACAGGACTTATCCAATATGAAGAGAGAAAAGATTTTCAGAAGTGAACACAGTGTTAAGGACTCGTGGGACAATGTCAGAAGGTCTAACATAATGATAATTAGAGGCCCAGAAGGGGACAATAATCAGAGTCCCAGAAGAGAGAGAGAAAATGGGTCAGAAAATGTGATGGCC